TTTTTTTTTTTTTTTTTTTTTATCACTTCTTCGTCGTTCTAATTTCTTCATTACATCAACAAAAAAGCAAACAGACTTTTTTTTCTGTTTTTTAGTATTCTCGACTTTAAGTAATTTGTAATTTTTACTCCTTTTGTGACAAAGAAGAAACGAATACAAAAGTAGCAAGCAAAAAAAAATTGTCTTTTGTTTATTGCAGAGACAATATATGAATAGAAGAAAAAGAATGAACAAAAAGTGTTTTCAGAGTCTGTAGAAGATAGCCGATGCGGCTCGTCAGAAACATATTTTCAGCAAAACTGTTATCAGTTTTTTCCGGAACCTTTATCATGGAATTTAGCCTCTAAACGATGTATTGCTCGAAAAGGTTAGCATTTTTTGCTAACTCTCATGTTTTTTTTCCTCTCTTTTTTTAAGACAATCTAACAAAAAATGTAAATTACTCTACCAACACTTGTTATCTATTAACTTTTAATTTTGGCTTGAAGCCTTGACCTATCAAACAGTTTAAAGTATCTTATTGATTCAAGTTCTTGCTTTTTCTTTGCCAAATGAAAGTTCGTTAAGTTTTCTTTGACAATAATTTTTTCAGGTCATTTAGCAAAAATTGAAAATGATGCGGATCGCAATTTTTTGTCACAATTTTTCCAAGTGGAAGTCAGTAATTTAACTGCAGCTTGTTAGTTTTATTACTCAGCTAAATGTTGTTTGCTATTTACTGCTTTTTTTTCTGTTAAAAATAAAAATTTTTCTTTTTTTATTTTTTTTAAAAATTTTGTGATTACTGTACACAAATTCTGCATTGAAACTGTTATATCATCAAATGCTCAAATGCATTAGAGTTTTATAAAATTTTCATTTTAAGTTCGTAACATTGGAATATGGATTGGCGGACATTCAGTGCTAAATTATACAGAAGCAACATATGTTTGGAAACCGGAAAATTATTTGATTACAAAATTTTACTGGAAGAACGACGAACCAAACATTTATATTGATTATACCAGTAAGTTTGACTAAAATTTGATCTTTATCTGAAACTAATAAAGACAGTCGACATACTGTATCTGCACAATAATAATAACAATAACAATAGTTTTGCAGTTTAAATGAGAGTTGTGAATTGAAAAAATAGTCTAAAATTAGTTACGTTTATCTTTAGGTATATAATTTGTTAAATTTTATCAAAAGTGAATATTTTATGCAATTACAATGGCACAGTTATGTCATTAAGTTATGTCATTTTCACCACCGAAGTAAATTTGATGTTTTCCAGATGTTTGTGTCTATATCGATGATCGGTCACTGTATTTAGATTGGGCAACAACTTTATGTACAGACGAAAAATACTACATTTGTCAACGCGATGTTACAGATACTGGTCAGATAAGCTTTATAAGCAAAATTCTTCAGAATCTTGACTACCTGACCTTAACTATAATATGAATAAAAATTTATTGCAGAAAAAAAAGAGATGTTTGCTCAGTGTTATTGTCCACCGGAATATTCGGGAACGTTTTGCGAAAAAGCAGTAGAAACAGGTTGAAATGAGCTTATAATAGACAGTAAATTATATCAAAATCTCTACAGTTTTCTTACTTCTGAAAAAACGCTGCATTCCATAAACAAATTTTAGAATGTCTAACTGATATGAGTAGAAACTCAATTGAAGTAACACTGCAAACAAAAAATCTTATTACACACCCAAAAATTTCAAGGATTTGAAAAGCTTTTTTCCACTGTAATTTCAATCACCTATTTATGTTTACAGCAAGCCACTGTTTACCAAAATTTTGCTCTCAAACAAGCATTTGCAAGAGAGTAAACCAGTAAGAGAGTAAATGAAAATTTGCTAAATAAGGACAGTTATTAAGATTTGCAAATATCTCTTCTTTAGCTTTTGCAGGTAATGCTAAAGAGCTTCAGCAAGTGATTTGTTCTAATGAAAAGCTGAACTTTAGTTGCTCTTCTGGTGAAATTATTCAAGTCGATTTTGCAACATTTGGGAATATTGGTGTATGCATAAAAGTTTTTTCTTGTTAACGTCTTAACCATTTCAAGAATCTGTTTCATTCCGTGGTTCTGCTTTTTTTCTTCACTGAAATGGCTTTTTCAAACCAGCTAAAATATTCACCTACTTATGCCAAACTAGGCTCACTTAATAAAGAAAATTAAAAAAAATTAAAAAATAAATGTCGAAATTACTGCTGTTGTTCAGAAACAGAGACTAAATCCGGATAAATTTATTACTTCTTGAAAAAAAATTTTTCTAATTTTTAAATGTAAAACGAATAACAACAATTCAAAGAACTTCTTAAAAATACAGCTAAGACTGAATAATTGCTTTTCCTTTTACTAGAAAGTTATTGTGTCTAATAGTAATATAGCTGAAGATACTTTTTTAGGAGGTTCCATCGCATTGTAAGAGTTTAACAAGTGAAATGCTTTTGGTTCCGCAATCTGATTTTTGCGCTAATCCAGAGAGTCTTCAACGAATTACTGCTCTGTTAGATTACTAAAACATTTTTACTTATATTACGAGATAATTGATAAACTATTATGAAGTGCTTAGAACGTTTTAATTAAAACCTAAAAAATATTCGTGAAATATTGAAAAAAAAAATTGTTGTTTAAGAAACTTAATTAAAGAATTCAATTTTTACTAGTCAAAACGAGATTTTTAGATACAGGAGTGCCTGTACAGTTCTATACACTGTAAAAGATAGATCAACCGAAATAAACTGAATAAGGATAAACAGTGATATTTTAGAGTATATAACGTTTTTACAGATGTGAAGGGCTGCGAGAATGCACAATACCTTCAATTCCGAGTCACTTCCCAAAAAGTCCCTGTTTTGGAACACCAACTTCGTTAACCTATCGATTTCAATGTGTAGAAGGTAAGTTATTACAATGTCAAAGAATCGAAAACAGACCTTTCATTTTCGTTGAATACCACTATCGACAACTGTTTCAATTGCTTACAGAAACATTAGAATATTGCTTGGAAAATTGTATGCACCATATAATTTATGGCTATTAATTCTGTAAAGAAAAAGGTTTCACAAATTCAACACTGAGTATCATGTAAAAAATGTGGAAAAAATGGAAACAAAAAACTGTAAAAATTTTTTGAAAGAACGTTTAATGAAAGTAGTAAAGAGGAAATTGTTATACATAATAATAAAAAAATAAGAGATTTGAAATTTAGAATCGCAGTCAAAATGTCCCGGAGATGGAATTTACTACAATGGACGTTGCTATAGAGCATACTTTGCAACTGCTGAAAATGAACGCTTAACTTGGGAACAGGCCCAACAAAGCTGCCTTAAAAAAGTTTTATTTAAAATTATTTAAAATTTCTAATTAGCAAAGGAAATATTAGCCAGAAAAAATGACAAACTAGTTACTATCTACTACCAGCGTTAATACCAGATTTTCATATTTGTCCTTGTAGACCAACAAAATTTGGATACACTGAGAGTACTGAAAACTCTTTTGATGCTTTATTAGTATTTATATAAGACCACAACTCAAACATTTTGGTAATTCAATTTTACCATTTTAGAGCGGTATTTTGGCTTCGATAACTGATGAAACGTTACATGAGCTAGTTGTGAACAGTGCTCGAACTTACTCAGACTCCGCTGACTACTGGGTGGCTGTGTGGACAAACGATGATTCGGACATCATTGTTGGGAATAACAAAACTTTAGGCTTTGTGTAAGTGGTTAATTTGTAGAGTAAGCAAGAAAATTTAGTTTTTACTAAATGAGGTCACTCCTGAAGGCCTTCAATATTTTCTACCTGTCTGCTATTGTTTCCAACGCTTCTTGACTTACTTATCTCCTTTTTGGTAAATAATTTAGTTTAGTATTACAAGTCGACAGTTTTCAAAGACAGCTTGTCACTTGTGAGTAAGAAATATTTATGACCATTTAAAAAGCGAACTGAAGCGTTCTTCTTAAAAATAATTATATTAATTAAAAACTTTTTTAAGCTTTTAGTACTAAAAAATTGATCGAAGTGTCTCTACCTATTTCAGCTTAATCCACTTTAACTACCGAAAAAAAAAGTGGTTTTTTTTTTTTTTTTGATAGTAAATATCTATGTTTTTTTCCCATATTTGATTATTGAGACATTTCAAGATGTAAATGTTTACAAAAACTTTATTCTGTTTCTAAAAGCTGAAAAATTTAGTTGTTTAATTCACAACTTTTCATAATTTCTTCACTAATACTTAGGAAAACGAAACGTAGAAATTATATCAGTTTTTGAAAAAAAAGGAAGGTTTTTTTGTGGAACTTTTTAATATCTTTAAACTTGCTTGTAAACTGTTTGGAAACAGGTAGTTTAACTTGAATTTGAATGCACCTTCTCGTGACTAAAGTTTTTCATTAATTTGCTGCTTTATTTTTTGATAATTTTAAGCAGTAGATCAAAAGGTGTAAAATAGAACATTTTTTTTCGATATTATTATTTCTTTCATTAAAAAATGGTATTTTAACGCTTACAAAACAACATTGTTCTATTAATAGCAATGATGACAGCATTTTACTCTTTTTCTTTACGCTCATGAACTATACAAAGTAATTTTGACTGGAAATTAACGCAATTAAATTTTTTTTTGTACATTAAAAAAGAATGAATCATTGTTGAAGAAAAATATAGCAAAAAAAACTTAGACCTGGCGGATCAACAATTGTTGGCAAAAATAAATGTGTCGCATACAAAATAACTGAAACAGAAGCTATCTGGATGTCTGAAGAGTGTAATAGCACCAAAAATTGGATCTGTGAATCACCACCTGAACGTGAAACTCGAGCTGTCGAGGAATACAAAGAACGGGAGAGAGAAGGAACCGTATTCATCGGAACACCACCGTAAGTATCTAATCGTTCAATTACTGTAGTATTCAACATACGGAAGATTCTTACACACATCAGTAATTTCAGTCTCATACTTCTTTTTTTTCTCATTTTCTTCCCATTTGTACATTAATCTTGCTGTCTTCTTCAGCAGCTCAAAACTGTTCAAATAAAAACGAAGTTCCTATGAAAGTAAACATTTTTCACAAACTTTTTAATAGGTTTACAGATCGAAATTGAGGAAGAATTGAGTTAGCATTGAGTGGGATTAAAATAAACATTTTAGCACTTTGAACGTTTAATCCTCATGAAATGTTATTTGCCACGGCAAAAAAAGCGGCTTTAAATAGTCAAAAAAAAACTGTGAAAGTTTTAAGGTATAAAATACTAAAAAGAAAAAGTGATAAAAAAAATTCTTTTTTTATTTTTTTCTCTCTCACTTAGCTAAACACAAAATACTTCAGAGGTGATAAGTTCTGCCAACTGCTCTGTAGTCTTTGCGACCGGTTTTTGTCGGGCCTGGCAAAACCGTAAACCTGCTGAAAACACGTCACTTTTAAGTTCTGCTTTTACCTCTTTCTTCCCTTTGTGTTATTTGTTTGATTGATGAGGAATTCTGAAGAAAAGACCTTTTCTAAGCAGTCATTTTCCAAAATTCTTGATCGTTTTCTTTTGTGTGCGTCTTGCGTATTTGTGGGAGAGAGTGTGTGCCTTAGTGTGTTTATGCTGGAATGTGTGCTTTTTGTTTTCCCAACTTTTCAGCTTTTTGTAGGCTTCACAAAGGAAATGTACTCGCAGTGAACAAACTTTCTAATGAATCATAACGTAAATCAAATCATTAAACTTTCAACCTTCTTTTCTGGTTAATCTTTAGTTACCTAATCTTCTACCACATCATTTTTCTAAATTATGTTTGGTATATTTCCCTCGAATCGGTTTTGTGCAACTGGCACACCAAATGGCAGGTGAACAAAGCAGCAACAAATCGAGTTAACTTTAGGCTTCTTAAAGATGAATAAAAAAATTGAATTTCAAGTCAATAGAATATGAATTTTTCAGGGTAGAGGGAAGGGTTGTAATGGAAAAAAAGAAGATATTTGTAATAAGTAATAATTAGCGGCTGATACTGTTGGTTCTTGCTTCTTACTACTTTCTTCCATCTTTGTTGGCAATTTTCACCTCTTTTCACTTGCTTTTAAATAAGCTTTTTCTAGGTCTTTTTTTTTCCTGTCGTTGCTGCTGCTTGTTTTTCGGGTGCTGTTGCTGTAAAGGTACCACAGCGTATGCAGAAACGTTGAGAAAAAGGGTAATGTAAAGATGATGCAATGGAAAATGCAGTTACAAAGGATGGAAGTGGCAGTAAGTCAGAAGAGCATGGGAGAAAAATATAGTTAGAAAAAGAAAAGAAGGGAGGGAGAAACAGAAGAAGAGAACAGAGAT